ATCTGCGATATTCCCCACCCTATTTAGGACTTGACCAAATATTCGAAACCCTATTTATGACCTGACCATTAAATCAAAACCCTGTTTCAGAACTGCGTTATAATTAGTTCCCTAGTTCAGACCAATGCTAAGTTAAATTACCGTAAACATAACTTGTGAAGGGCTTTTGTTGATTTTCTTTTCGATAATGATGAAAAAGTGGTTTCCTCTTAAAAACATACCCATATCAAGGCTAGAGTGCAAAAACCATACCCTATTTATGACCAAAATGGCCACCATAGGCTAAAATCGATACCCTATTTATGACCAAAACGGTTGAAAAACCATACCCTTTGGGATCGCACATACCTATGTAGCTCATATAAGGGCGTACCCCCCGGGGGCTTTATTTTGCCTGCAGTCTGGCCCCAAAATTACTTCAACGCCATCAAAGTCATGATCGGACAGATAAACTGACGTTTTATCGGCGTAGTCCAATTTGTATTCCTATAATCTAAGAAAATTCACATGAATATTTTCAACCTAAGATCGGCAGAAACATAACAAGGGTCAAGGGTAACCCAACCCGGTAAGAACTGTTAAGGGTAACCGAACCTAGTAAAAATTGTTATGGTGTGCCAACGGGAATGTGAACCACTTAGCTAAACGTGGTACTGAACAAGACATTCATAAAGGTAAATTAACTGTCGAAATTAATACGGACAACTGACGTTTCTGAAACTAAAATTCGTCCAACCAAATTAATAAAAGGAAGCGTTTGCCAGTGTGAACCAGAGAGTTACCGGCGTGAAAGAAAAACAAAAATGTTCTGTCAAAGCAATGTTAACGCAAAAAAATTTGATATTTCAATCTTTAGTAGGGAGAGACGGAGAGGAAGAGGAGGAAATTTCAAGCAACCTGGACAAAGCCAATAAAGGTGAGTGGAAATAGTTCAATGAACATTAAGTAGCAAAAGAATAACGAGCAAGGGCATGCAAAGGATCACTTTTCTGAGATATCTGTTGCTCGGCCGAGTTATTGGTTGTAGGGAAAACCAAGAGCACACGCCCTCTTTAAGCTAATACTGAGCCTGAAACTAATTATTTACCGTGGAATGTCCTGGTACCCTACCCCCAAGAGTGTATTTTAATCTTAGTGTGAGAAAATTCTGGAGATGTGTCTGCTGGCTGGGAAATTTCACAAGGAAATTACCTGGGAAGTAGAGAATTTGAGGAAATACCCCTGGAAAATAAGAAGAGGAATAAATTCGCCATCAAGAGGAAAAATTGTTTTCAAAGTGCTTAAATAACTACCTACACAAAATATGCAAGTTCAAAAATCCATTAAAATTAATTAAAATCTTTTTAAAAAGTTTTCGGCTTCGTTTTTGACAATACTTTTCTGATAGTTAGTTGCTACTGATAACAGTCGTCCTAGGGAAATTCTGACAAATGAGCTCGTTACATGACGTATGCAGTAGCGGATCTAGGGGCGGGGCCCGGGGGGCCCGCCCCCCCTTATTTTGGGAAAAAAAGAAGGCATGACAGAAGGAAGAAAAGCTGGCAGGGCAAGTAAAACAACCCCCCCGCCACCCCCCTTAGCTCAAGGTCTGGATCCGCTACTGGTATACTTGAATGCGATACGACATAATTTTGGTTACCTCTCACGACAGGATGAAATGCATAGACTGGGTTCACAAAATGCTTCACTAGTGTCCTGGTAATTTAATCACGTTAAAACTGAGTAACTTTAGGCCCGGTTCATACGTCGCATTTCTGCCTTGTCGAATTCAATTCAACGAATTAAATTCGACAGAAATTCGACGTCTGAATCGGCTGCAGCATTTCTGCCGCACGTTCGACTGGTCTTGTCGCATTATCCGACAGAAATACAACACCGATTCAAACGTCGAATTTCTGCCGTGTCGAATCTAATTCATACATTATGTTAATGTATTGAGCATGCGTAAATTTGGTCCCGTCAAAGAGAAAG